AAATTTATTTTCGATTCTTCTAGTCCTAACCAGTCAAAGGTTGCAAGAACCACTAATCCGGATCGTATCAATCTCGTCCCTAGTGGTGATATCCGTCTATTCCGTCTGTTTTTGGTGGAATCACGGTGTAATGCGTGGCCTGCTGGTAAAACTTGAAGGTTTCCCGTCGGCAGCCCGGTCATACGGGCCTACAAAAGTTACTCGAGATCACGCGTGACGTGCTGTTAAAAATAAACGCGTGTCCCGCGGCATGTTACAAATGTTACTAAAGTTCAAGCTTGGCGTGCTGCGAACAAAATATGTGTACCGCGCGCCGCCCATATGGCCTGCTGCTTCAGAAAAATCGTTTGTTCTATGGTGCTGAGAGTGTTAAGCAGCTTGTGTGCTAGTTGGGTTGTCGTTGGTGACTGTTTGGAAATTGTGAAGTATAGGTACCTACCCTGTTTCTGGGTTTTTAGTAACAGCTGTTTTATGACCCCGAAGTTTGTTTCGAGTAGAGATTCCGGAACCGGACCTGTTTTGAAGAACCGGGTATTTCGGTACTAGTCTTTAACGGAACCGGGAATTCCCGGTTCTTTCGATACTTCCGGTATTTGTTGTACACACGCCAGCACATCAAGCTACACATTGACGTATCTTGTTTCGTTGCACTGGAGGCTATTTTCGAACAAAAATGTATAGTCTGATGTGCCGTTGTCCGTACCTACTCGTATAATAAATGAAGTACTTAGTAAACAATAATACTCTATAGGTTAAGAAAGGAATAGGTTTCAAAAGTAAAAACGGTCAATAATTGAAGCTTTTTTCATTGAAAATAATGTAGTACAGTACAAGTCAGGCAATTTCGTTTTTCAGCCTTCTTATTCTTGGAAATTAAAATACAAAAAACTTTTGCAATCATAGTAACTTAAACCTCGTAGAGGAGGTTGTCTAGAGACAAAATCAAATTTAAAACTATCGTTATTTAAATGATGTATACTAAAAATCACAGTTAATCAGATCATAAATAAATACAACTATTAAAAATTATTATACAGTCAGCCTTTTAAACTTAAATTACTGTTTAGTTTTTTATTTTAAATAATTGAAAATGAAGAAAAAAATATTGAAATAAAAACTTACTAAAACAAAATTTATAACTTCTTACTTACTAACTTCAGAAAATACTATAAAATCTTTTTAATGTAAAGGTGCTTTTCCACCGGCGAGGGGAAATGAGGATTGCAATATTTAAATTCTCTTCTCGTCTTCGGTGGAAATGGTCTAGATTGACGAGGTTGGACGAGGCGAGAATTGAAATATTTCTTTGAATTTGAACTTGTTGCCTACATGGAGTATTGGGTACACTCTGCAACGAAAACACGATTCCTGTTTTCGTATGTATTTTGCTAGATTGGACGGCAATTACGTCAGTTTTGTACGGTTAAGCTAACCTAAAATTCTTTTTATGTTAATCTATATCCTATTACATGTCTTTGTGGTGCAGCTATTTAGCTATAGATGAATGTACAGCATTATCGTGATAAACTTTATATTAGAATTTATTTTGTACGCGTCTGTGTGCACGATTTGAGAATAAAAAAAGATATGCTTCATCTGATTCTTCTTCTGTTAACATATTTACTAATTATTATTTACGGGGCATATTACTACAGCCTCGCGTTTATCGCTAAATGAACTGAACAGCACTGAATCGTCACTATATAAAACCACAGTAGGAGCTCGCGCGAGATATGAATAGCAATTTTTGGTGGAAACAGGCCGACGAGATTTACTATTCTCGTCTCGTCTCGGCGGTGGAAAACCACCTTAACCTCTGCGAAGCGTTTTTATACACCCTCCCGCATCTATCGCCGTTTAGTTTTGACCGCGAGAAAGCATCGCGTTCCTTTGCCACGTAATTAAGACCGAAATTATATTATCGACGTTGACTCCCGAAAGTATCTTGAATTGAATATGATGATGAATGATTATTTTGAATTCCCGGTTCGTTCATCATAATAAAAGAACCGGGACTTCCCGGTACTTTCGAGACCGGGTTTTCCCGATTCTGAACCCTATTTTCTAACTACTTAGTCTTCATTTGGACAGTGGATCACTGAGTTGTCGGCTATAGTGATGCAAAGGAAGTGTCATAACGAAAACTGATGTCAAAAGTAAATTTTAGCAGAAACGGAAGCGGAATTGTAAATACTATAAAGATCTCAACGAAATAGTTACAAACAGTGCTTGTGTTTAGTTTCAATGCTAAGACGCACGCGCCCCAACGCCAAGCAATACGCGCACGCATCTGATCCATCGCGAACGTTATTTTATTATAATATACTTCCGATAAAAATTCTGTTATAAAAGTTGCGGAAGCAGAAACGGAATCAGATGTGAAAAAGCGCTACGGAAGCAGAAGTCAACTGCACCACTAGTCATTACACCAGGTTATAATCGGCGATACTTTTAAGTTTTAGATGTGCACTTAAAGGAACACAAGTAGGTACTTAACGGGTAAGTAAAACGCAACTTGAAACATTTGGAAAAGCCCAGAGTGAATATTGAAAGGGACTATTTGTCTTTTAGAATATGTTTAGAATTTATAAAATTGGTTTAGACTTGTTTTGGGTTTGGTTTACTTGATTTAAAAAGGGGAATATGATTTTTTAAATTTTGAACGCACAAAACGTTAGGTGGGAAGGCTGTCTGAAAGTTGTTAAATTTACCTATATATATTATGTTATTTCAATATAAATACGATATAAATTGCAATGCCCTTGAGACAGATTTCGGAGAATCAGTGCGCATTTCTCTCTACGTTCAGAGCATTGTAATTTATACTTTATTTCACTTGAAATAGCATAACATATACATTATATAGGTAGGTACATATATATAGATAAATTTTCCATCTGCCTTGTCTTCCGCCGATTAACGCTGGCCTCTTAGTTGTCTACATGGTCTCGTTTGGTTTGTCTGGATCTTTGCCAATTTTGCAGATTATGAGTGTATTGAGAATATCGGTTTGTAGAAAGCGCCACAGGTTCAACCAGCGCTCTTGGGCCTGTTGTTCCTGCAGCTAGTTTATTATATATATAAAAATATATTTGGATGTCTCTCACCGTGTGCGTCCTAATACGTTTAGATTGTGTAGACAGTAATCTAGTAGGTTGGCTTGATTGCTATAGGTTTTATCACATTGGCTCTGCACTTTGCAAAACACGTTTATACAATACTTATAAAAAATAGGTAGGTACATATTTATATTCCCTAATTACAATTTATTTGTCTATTTAATAGTTTTGTTATGTAAGGGTAGCTCTCGCAGGTAGAAAAAATTGAGGATAAACGATTACAGAAATAAAGATTGAGGGCTATCAATCAAGTGATCATAAGAATACGTGGCATGGCCGCTCACAGAAGTAGCACGATGCGTATTTGACCGCCATCTGACCTGACGGAAAGTTTTACTCTCGAAAGAGCTCCAAATTACGTTCACGGAATAAGCCCGCAAACATTGAATAAATGCTAGTACCACAACTCATTTACGGTTATGTGAATATTGTTCAGCATCTAATGTCAATTAAGGTATATTGTGCGTGCATTGTGTGCATGTAATTTACATGAACAGTATGGTAGCAGTAAAGTTTTTCCTGGAAAAATGTCATTCTATTTTGCATTAAAATCAATATCAACTCACTACAATTATACTATTAAAATTCGCTACTAAATAAAAAATTGGAAACTATTGTGTCTCTCAAACAAACTGAGATGGGCTAGAACATGGCTAGAACTCACATCACATGCCCCATAAAAGGAAATGTTCGCTCTCAATGTCAAATAATCTTTATTTCATAAATAAGCAAATTACACTTGAAATTGTCATACTGACATCTCTCTCCTCTTGTGCTTGTGACGTGACAGAATACAATTTTGGTCTTTCTTTAAGTGCAAGTTTTGGCATAAAATTAAAAACTTTATACATGTATGATTTAATATGGTAGTTCAATAAAAACAAATTACATAAAGTAATTAAAAAAATATAGGGATAATTGCTATTCTCTTTTCATTACTTTATTCTGTTTGCCTACTACATTAGTACATATCAATCTACAGAATAGTTTTAATTATTGATGATTCACTGAATCATTATACATAGAGAGGTTAATAAAGTCGAATAGCATTTACATTGTACGCATATTTGGCCCTTTAATAAAATAGATAAGATACCTACAGTTATTTATTGCAATAAGTACTATATACTTAATTACTATAACATCTAAATTAAAGAACCTTATGAATAAAGGATTTATGTAAACAATACACACATTATCCATGCATTGACCTAATATAGTAATATTATACTATTATATATAACATAAATTCATTATTTATAAAGACACCTTAATGTCACATAATGGTCAAGTATGTAAATGAAAACACAAGTGTGTTTCTCATGACTCCAGCATACACAATGATAAAACGCAGAGTTCTTGTTACTATTGCCAGCTGAAAATTCATTAACACTTGCAATGAAATTAAAGACTACAAATATTGCAATTAAATAGAAAAACAGTTGTCTCTGTGAAGTATATTTCTGTACAACCATTAAACTAATTTAACAAACTTAAATATAATGCTTTCCCCAACAAAACTAGTGCAAAAACTGGCAGTAATTTTAGAACTGTAAAATGAAGTATTAATTATATACTCAACATAATTTACACCACTTATATCTTATAGATTTCATAACTTTCTATAACAATACTATAATTCAAGACCCAATAAATTATTTTATAACAGTTTACACTTTGAAATAAAGCTTAACTCACATTTTGCAGCATGCATTTATGAGTTACAAAGGTTCAAAATATTCCTTGTAGTATATCGACAAGTACTAAGTATAAGGGCCAAACTAACAATTTGATCATTTTCACTTTTTTGTAGGAAATGCTTTTTTTTATAATGAAATGAAGCATTTCCCACAAAAGTGAAAATTATTACTTTGGCCCTTATACTTATGACTCATCGATATATTTATATTATTTCGCTCAATATATGCATAAAATGCCTTTATTGGGCCATGAATGATACAAATCAACATCAAAAGCTTGATTCAACTAGATACAGAGTCATTAGACCCTAATAATCACCTAGTGCACATTGAATATAGTGTTGTAAAAATGTGTAATGAATATATGTTTTGCCAAAACTACAGTTGTTAAAAGGCCTTTTAATATGTATATGTACATGATTTTTTATCACTGATATTTAGTCATTATAATATTTTGCTGAATTATAATATTTTGTCAATTACGCTGTAATTTTAGCATAAGGTGTAAATTACTAATTACTAAGACATTGTTATTGGTAATAAAGTAGGTAAATATATAATATTAAGTGTCCACACCAAGTTCACAATCATTAATATTCATGATCTGTATCAAACAGAACTAATTAACTATAGTTTTCTAACACAGCCTGCGTCTTTTGACAAGAGCTACTATGCATGCATTCTACATTCTCTTTCAAATGCAGGCATAGATAATGCAGCATAAATGTTCCCTAAGGGCAACCTTTCAAAAAAGGAATATTTCACAATAATATTTAAATGCAGGTGACGTAACCTTACATTGCATATCTGGCAATAATAACAAGATTAACTTTAGGATTACCAATTCCTAAAATTAATCTTAGGAATTAATTTTTATGTTAACCATAACATAAAAATTAATTACTGCTTCTTCATTGTGTCTTCAGCTTTGCAGGTAAATTACAAAAATGATATGTTATGTCTTAAAAGAAAAAGAATGCTGGCCAGCCAAAGGACGCGAGCTGTTGCAGTTAAATAAATCACACATAATAATAATATGATGTGTTGCCTATTGTATAGACAGAAAGCGTGGCTCACATATTCTGTTGTGCAGGACTTGCCGGAGGAGGCTGTGCTTCCAAATTCTTTATTAGTTGAGCTAGCCAGTGTTTAGTAGAATTGTCTTCCTGAGGACATGCAGTGAATGTAGCATCTCTTAACTGGTCAGGCAGGCATTGTCTGAGAGCTTCTCTAGCCCTTGGATTATCTGAGAGGCGTAAATAACACCGGACAACATGCTTCAGCAGTCTAGCAGATGGGTCTTTTGCAAGGGATAATACCATCTTCCCCAATATCATTGCTACATGTGAAAATCTATCATAGGTTTGACAAATATAACACAGACCACTGTCATCTAATAAAATTTTCTGTAATATAAAAGTAGCTACAGTCTTGGAAAGCTCAGATCCATTCTCCATGATTCGCAGGCACAATGGTATTATTTCAGTAGTCAATAAAAAAGTAATCACTTCTTGTTCATCAGTTTTAACTAGCGCGCCAATAACACCTAAGCTAGTCAGTCGCAAGTATTCAAAAGGACGCGTCTTGGATACCGTATGTAAAAATGGGTACAAGAACAAGGGTACATGTGCTTGCAGGAATGCCGACCTCGTCTCAGGGTGGGAGGCCACACATTGCATTAGAGCCAATGCGTTGCAGACGCGGTTGCTTTGATGGGCTGTCAGCGTCGGCGGTATCATAGCAACATAAATATTAGTAATTTCTTGCAGCAACGCGGCTATAGTGCCAAAGCTATGCCATAGCATTGGCGCTAAGTCAGGAACTACTTCGCGTTTCTTGCTCAATTCCAAGAGAGCGTTTTCGCGAGTTTCAGGATTGCATAGTTCTAATATCCATGTGTAAATTTTCTCTCTGTCTACGACGGCCTGCATATTCGCTGGGTTTTGTTGGGCGCTCATGGTGTTATTCATTGATTACAAAATGCAAAATAACCAAGTAGTAGATGCAGTTATTCAGTTCTTAGTTATGTTCTAATGTTATCATGGCACCCCTAACAACCACAAAATTACACGTCTGAGCACTTAATACATTACCTAATTTTACACAAGTCGTACACTACACTGTAGTTACCAAAAATTTTTATTGAAAATCACAGCCCCAGCCACGAGGTACAGGTACGCAATCATAGACAACTTAGTAGTTTGTGACACTGACATCCCAAGTTTGTGGTTTGTGATCATAAAGGATGGAAAAAAAATTAAGGTTTATGGTAGACAATACACAAATTGACTTCCAAGCCTCAGAGGATGGAAACTTCAAGCCTTAGACAATTTATTTTTTTTCCATCCTCTAACCTTCAAGCTCTTTATTCTGTATCTATGTTCAAGCTCAGACGAATTCTGTCTCAAGAATTTTAAGCTATTTCTTTTTTTTCCTTGCGGAAAGGTAAAGATATATAGACCGTGCAGCCAATTTTTTTATTCCGTTTCTATTCTCTTCATTCCATTTGCACTCATAATTAAACTTGTGCCTGATCGGTCTTTAGAGGGAGTGATTCTAGTTAGTTCAATCGGTCAACTGAACTAGGTCGGTCTTCTAGTTCATTTAGTTCATCTAGTTCCTTAGTTCGTCTTGTCCTTGCTCGGACATGAACAAAAGAATACTCTAAACCAGTAAAATTCACATGAACTAATATGAACTTCTAGTATTAGGAGGTCAATAAATAGTACACTGTACTAAATATTTAAAAATACAATTAGTATGGAATCGGCTCTATTTGATTTTCCTTTATATTTTACAAGTTTAAAGACTGTCATTCTAACTAAATATTCTTTTTTTTACAAAATAAGAATTTTAGTTAGAATGGTGTGTTTAAAAACCAATATTTAGGTACAAGTATTTCATATACCGTACACATGGTTGATATTATACCTACCACAGAAATCCAGATATTTACCAAAAAATATGAGCATTTACTTTTTTGCAAGCTTACATATAACATAATGTAGATACGTAATAGAGACTTAAAGCGAGTTAGCAACGTTCAATCGTGCATCCCACTCTAACTTGTACTAAAAACAGTGAAAGATCGCTATTTGTCCGGCTCGCACCGTTCCTAACGAATAAAAACAAGGGAACACGCAGACAGTTCCTAGTTCGTACTGATCTAAAAAGAACGATGAACATCAAAACCGTGCAAGACGAACTAGTTCATGTCGGTCAGTCTCGGGAATACATTCCTTATAGTTCGCAGTTCATGAACTATACAAGCCTAGTCCTAATGGCGCGTTAAACCGCGACGTCTGCCGCTTTCGGCAAACTATTTAGCTTTGCCGAATACAGTCGTTTCGGTTGTCTTCGGCTGCAAACTATCGTCGACTCTACCCTTTTTTCGGTTTTAAGGTCTTAAACGAACAAATAGAGTCAATAGTTATAAAATCACTCTATTATTTAAGTAAAATAACAAAAAACTATATTTTAGGTGACACAAATGAGATTGCGGTAACACGAATGATTTTCGCATAAACTCAAGCGAGATAGTCGGCACACTAATGATACGGCACGATATCTATTCTCTCAGAATTGTTTATTATTATAACACAAATTTTGTCGTATGCAAAAGTTAACATTTAACATATAACGAACATTTCAATTTCTGTTCTAGTAATCCGGTTTTGAAGGGTAAGGGTGATGGTGAAAATACAGACACATGGGTCTGGTCAACTTATGTCTCAGGGTGACGGGCGCAATGGCATTGTCCCACAGGTTTTTGTGATTTAATGCTCTGAGTGGTACTGCAACTGTTATAGACAGGCGTCTAGCTTACCATCAGGCGCAAGACTTGTTCGTCCCGTCACTTGATAATGTGTAAAATATATATACATGTATGTCTTATGTTACTCCACACAAAGTATGTTCATTTCCAATCTAAACACAAAAATAATTATGCATTAAAGAATATATAAATGATTAGTTCACGTTTTTGGCATGAAAATTTGCAAATATATTAAAATATATATGATTATTTGAAAATTTTTTTCCTACACAGCCAAGAAATGTTTTTGTTTAGCATAAATACGTGCGTGACAAAACTGTGTGAATAAGTTTTCCACCTACAATACTTAGCCATCTATCAAATCGATGACTTTACTTACTGCCTATAATGCTTTTTTTCCATCCTCTAAGCTATAATGTTTGTAAATGCATTTATAATCTATGACGGGTGTTCATGCGTCTTTATCGCACTCGTTACGGAAAAAATACTATCTCTATCTTTATTTGGCAACTGTTATTTATAAAAAACAGACAAACAAATAAAATGTAGTCCACATCTACACTCATTATTTACATAAAAAATATAGCAATAACGTAAATATTTTCATGAGGATATACCTCAAGGTCTTCGGCCGCAACTAATTAACATTGCGGCGTATATCTTAAACGCACTAGTCCATCGAGCGCAGAAGGAAAATCACCCTATGAGTTATGGTTTAAAAAAAAAGCATTTTAGAATTATTGGTTGTAAATGCTATGCACATATTCCCAAAAGTCATAAGAATTTTGACAAAAAAGCTCAGAAAGGAATACTAATTGGTTTTAATGGAGATGAAAGCTACAGGATTTGGGATAAAGTCAATTACAAGTTGATCAAATCTAGAGATGTTACATTTGAAGAGACACCGGTGCTAGGATTTAGAGACGAGAAAGACATTCCTTGCATTCCTCCACTTTCAACTGGAATCAATGAAATATTTCAATATGAGCTACCAGATCTCCAACAAGAGACATTCATAGAAAATATCGTACAGCAGAATGACGCTCAAACCAGGCGAGAATCTGAAAATGAATCGATGACTATCACAGTACCATGGATCGCTTGAGAAAGAAGTATTAATTACGTACAACAAGGCCCAGATGATCAGGTGGATCAAATGGATATCGAGGAGTCAGAGCAGTCTCATGATACTTTAGAGCCTGAAATTGAGAAAGACTTACATGAGTTTCTGAAATTTACTTGAACTTTGTGAAAATTAAATTGAACAGTCGGCTCGAATGACTTTTAGCAATGATATTAACCACAATATTAACTGACTTTTAGAGAGGACTATTGTCAAACCTCCAAGTCGGGGCGAAGATTTTATTTGTAACATGACATCAAATGCACTTGTTGACCATCCTAAAACTTCAAAGACACTATGTCGAGAGCAGATCGGGACAAATGGCAAGAATCCATTACCTATGAAATAAATTCCTTTGGTAGTCGAATTGAAGTTGAACCAAATCGTACGAAAGCCATTCCTTGCAAATGGATATTCAAAATTAAAACTAAACCTGTCGGTGCTTAGGTCAAGTACAAGGCCAGATTAGTGATTATGGGATATGTACAGAAGAAAGGTTTCAATTTTTTTTGAGATTTTTAGTCCTGTAACCAGCCATCATACCCAAATCCTTGCCATTGGGGTCGTATTTCCAGTGCTTGAAATCATACTCAAGTCCTGACTTGAGCATTGAGTAGAGTTCTGGAATACGATCCTTAGACACCTAATATCTAAACACACTATATTTTCCTAACAAGTCCCCGTCACTTCTGCACTTTACAATATCGGTTGCTTTGTAGATTCACATTTTTACGTTAACAATAAAGAATGACAAACGGAGATGAGTCCCAGGATGCTTTGAAAGCGGAAATATTATGATTAATTATGTTTACATGTACTTACAAATCGTTTACTTAAAGGTAAAACCACATAAGTGACATTTTCCACAAAAAATCTCCAAATATACCTGTTGTAAGAAAATTACACCATCTTTCTGCAGATAAAACTCTTATTAAGTTTATAACGTTTTTGTTATTGAGTTTCTACCATACCATACCATAGCTACATAAATTAGAGACTTTTTGTTTAAAATGTCACTTATGTGGTTTTATCTTTAAGTAGACGAAATATTAGTTATTGAAAAAATTTTGAGGTTAATTAACTATTATGAGATTCACATTGCTTCCAAATACTGCCGAGAGAGGTCTCTAGAGTTTAGAAGTATTAGGCTGTCTGGTTCAGCTTTTATATGAAATTATCTGTGTCAAATAAATAGGGTGTTTTAAATACTCTATGGTCTGTGTGCTGAGCTGGTGATATTTTGGCTTATTTTATTTCTGAATGCAAAAAAACTATTATTTACTACGTTAAATATTTAGATTTAGAGTTAATTAAGCTTTTCAATATTAAGTTAGTTTAGGTGGTGTTGTGTGTACGTAAAAACAGATATTAAAGAAAGTATGACGTGAATTCTAATTGTAAATAATACGGAGTACCCAACTATTGTAATCACCGTTTTAATTAGTAAGTTGCTTACTTCGATTGTCGTATGAATTGTTTGTCATAGTTAGTGTTCACGCTGTCCATTTTTTCGAGAAATTTTTCTATCTCTGATTCACTAGCTGACGCCATTGCTAAGTATAAACAAACATTTATTACGCACTGTAGATAGTCCACATGGTTTAAGTACTGATCTTCTCGTTCGTACTATTTTAGTAGACGTATTGTTATGCAGTTTTTGTTTGACACCTTTCATTAACGTAACCTATTTTACAGTACTGCGTGTGTTTAGATGTGTGTAGACTACTGTACCACATAGTAACAACAAATTTTAAATTATAACGTGTCTTTTGCAGAATTATGGAGGTGTCCCACTCACTGACTTTAAATGAGACTGCATTGCAGCAGTTGCCGGATGATAAAAAGCCTTTGTTTATCTTCGAATGGTTACGATTCTTGGATAAGGTTCTAGTTGCTGCACAGAAGGTAATCATTATATTATGCGCTGCAATCAACACTCACTATTTTGATTTGCAAAAATTGAAGCTATACACATTGAAATAATGGAGCAGGCTATAACTTAATAATTCTTACTTGACCATTCACCTGCAAATGAAAATGCACCATATTTAGCTTTGACTGAAACCTTCTTCAACATAAGAGTAATGGAGTTGCCTTTATTGTAAATATTAACTAATTTTTATATATTATTATTATGTCGAATTTTGTGAAAATTCACTTAAAGAAATAATAAAGAGTTTGGCAGATACATACATACAAATATTACAAATGTGAAAATGAGCATGTACTATAATCAGTGTACTGATATTCCAACTAAACATAACAACTAAACATAAAATATACCGATTCATAATACAACTGTTACACTTTTTAAGTAATTTTGATGCTTTTCACAAAGACAAAATTAACTTTTGATTTGTAATATTTCTAAAAAAATGCATTTGACATTATGAAAATTCGAGCTAACGTTATTTCGGACAAATGTATTTTCTGACTTCTGATAGGTAATCCCAAGCTGTAAAACGATTACAACAATATTTTGTTAGTAATTGCTAACATTCACTAAAAAAGACATTTTAAAAATAAGATAAATCAAAGCAACTCTACAGTTTCATTGCTCTAAATATTTGAATCGCTTGTGGTTGGAACAATTGAAAATCCTCCGAACCTGACGACCATTTGTTGGTAGGTCAATGAAAAGCATAATGAATATCTACAAAAGATTTTTTTGGGTTTTTAATTGAATGGCCTTCTTCTTTGTATTTACAAAGAAAAACTCATTGTCAAATTTTTTTTCATTTTAATGCACACACTCATAGGTTTGCACTAGGGAAATCCTGTATCATGGGTGCCATGGACACTCACATAGACAACTACAAATTACACCCGACTCACGAGAGAAATTAATGTAAGCCATACAAATATTTCTCCTGGCCTGGGAATCATGCCCGAGACCTCTGCGTGGCAGACCAGTATATTATATCAGTTGCCAACTTAGCCATTCATCTTGGCGTGCACGGACAGCTCATCTATCGGGGTGTAATATACCACTGTATTCACAAAACACTTGACTTTTGGAACACTAAGAAATCCATGCCACATTGGCTGAACTTGTTAAAGTTGATCTTCCTGTCTTGTGCAATGGTAAATTTTTTATAGTGCACCTAACTCAAAAGTTTGATAATGTGTAAGAAAGTAAAAAAATCAAAGTTAAAAAAGTATTTATTGTATTTGAAAAAAGACTTAAAAATGTAATAGAAAAACTAGAATATGCAGGGTGTAAATTTGAGACGGGGCAGCAAGGCCAGCTACCTTAATCGTTGCAGTTACAGAAAAACGGCTCTAGAAGACTATCCATGAATTTTGGAGGCTTTTTGAGATTGGCATTCACAGATTTAAAAAAAAAAATGGTACAGTCAGCATGATAAAAGGCAATTTTTACAAAACTTTTTTTTATGCCACTTTTGATTTGGTCTCTGGTAAGGATCAATAGTCTCTATGGGACCAACTGACGTAAGAGTACTCTAAATGTCAAAAATCGCAAAAATCTTTTTACCATACATTTTGAGGGACCTATTTAGTAATCACTTATTCTGGAAACTAACAATAAGGAAACTAACAAATTGACAACGTATTATGTATTTCAAAATAAAAACAATAACGAAAAGCAAAATAACATAAAAAGTCTATGATAGTAAGTGCCCGAATTGATTGCCGCTTTGGCGGATGCATCGATTCGCTTTCTTCCGCAAAGAGCAAGTAGCGGCTGAAATTCTACTCAGATGGATTCTATTGAAAATTGCTGCAAGTGCGTTTTTCAATTGTTGAACACTGTTGTATTTTTTTATAAATTCAATTTTTTAGATAGCCCCAAAGAAAAAATCAAGGGGCGTCAGATCAGGCCTGCGCGGTGGCCATTTGATAGGACCATGTGTTCCAATTAATTTGTTTCCACACTTGAAAACATTTTGATTAAAAATCGTCTTAAAAGTGACAATTTTCAAACAAATTAAAAAAATTGTGATATGATTATAATTTGGTTTTACCTAAGTCTTATTTGTAGAGTAGCGGCCAGTTTCGTTTCTAACAAAAAAGATATTTTGCGATTTCTGCCATTTCGAGTACTCTTACCACAATTGGTCCCATAGAGACTATTGATCCTTACCAGAGACCGGATCGAAAGGCATAAAAAAAAAGTTTTGTAAAAATTGCCTTTTATCTTGCTGACTGTACCATTTTTTCAAAATCTGTGAATGCCAATCAAAATATCTTCAAAATTCATGGATAGTCTTCTAGAACCGTTTTCCTGTAACTACAACAATTAAGGTAGCTGGCCTTGCTGACCCATCTCAAATTTACACCCTGTATATTAACAAACTAGCCACCACGCCTGATAATACTTTCGATTCATGGTGCAGTGATTTGCCACTGGCCATATGGAAATCTGTTTCTGTGTGTCTACAACTATTTTGATTATTGTTTTTGACAATTATACCAATTATGACCACTTATTCTCTCTGATCCTGTAGATAAAATTTAAAACTTTGAATGTCTAAACATTTTTGTTTTATTACACCATTCCGAACTTTTTAATGCTGATTCTACACATGTACGCTGCAATATCTACAGTCGATACCCTAAGATACCTGACCACCAAGCCGACCTTTTGCTTTTGAGAGCCTTCTCACGCAATTATGTTTGATATTTGTATCATAGTAGAATAAGAACGAGTATGGTATTAATATTATTAGGGTGGCTTCATTTGGGGCCTATGGGACCCCTCATCACTGCGACCATGAATGACCTATTGTGATCACCTAATCACAACTCAGAGTCAAGACCAACAGCATTAAGGAACTGAAGGACTTTCCTGGCTCCGACAGTCTTTATGTCCTCTGGGTGTGGCCTGTGCCTGCCCAGTATGGAACTTCTTACGCCCATCAGAGGGCAGAATTGGGTGCGGAGATGCATAGGAGTTTCATCCGCCTTGTGGCAGAATCTACATTCTCTGTTTTCTCTCTGTCCAATATTTGACATGCTTATTCAAGCCACAATGCCCTGTTAAGGTTCTAGTCAGCATTCTGATGCCATTCCTGTCCAGTGGCAGCTTCTCTACAGTGTTTGGCACTGAAGGCAGCTATCAGAGTTTTAGAATGCTCAAGACCCTTAGTCTGCAGGCACATGTCTCCAAACAAACTGCCTCGGTGGCCGAACGGTTACCATGCCGGACTGCCACGCAGAGGTCCCAGGTTCGATTCCCGGGCCGGGAGAAATAGTTGTATGGCCTACAATTATTTCTCTCGTGAGTTTGGGTGTAAGTTGTGGTTGTCTATATGTGTGTCCATGGCGCCCGCGACACAGGGTTTCCCTAGTGCGGGGCTATGTTGAGTGTGTGCGTGTGTGTGTGCGTTTGTGACGATGTCACGGGAGACGTATGAGCTCTCGTTCAGCAAACTGAGCTTTGCCAGGCTGTGTGCTATTCCTATAAAGCCTCCCTAGCACCAGCCTTTGCCAGTTTATCCGCTGCTTCATTACCTTTGATGTCAGAGTGACCAGAAACTCAACCCAGGACAACATTATTAATTTTTCCGAGAGTATTCAGTATAGTTACGCAGTTCTCTACAATACAAACAAGTATGGTAACTCCGTCCCAATGTTGTATTTGTGCGCGCCCCAGTGGCATAGCGTGTGGGGTGCAGAGCGGCACAGCAATGAGGGCGGCGCAACGGCGACTGCGACCGAACCCTAACTAAAATTATTATTTTTTATTTAAAATTACAAAATAAATTCCACTGTTTGAGAAAACAATATCCTGAACTACACAAATGTGGCAAAGGTAGGCGAACATAAAAACACAATCGAGGCTAGCCTGCCCGAACGAACTACTTTTTAATTGTGGTACGCCACTTGCGCGCCAGTCGCCCGCCGCCTGTCGCACACCGTGTACGGACGCATGCATTTGCAGAATCTAACGATACTCTGAGGTTGCACAACATTGCTCATCTCAACGCCCCTTTGTACGCGTGTGCGTCCATACTCGTCGCACGGCGATTGCGCACAGATGCAAGCCGTGTACGTTTTCTCACAAGTCTACTCAGAACCAAATGTTTGATTAGGGCGTTAGGTATCATAGGGCATCGATAGTACGTCGTGCTGTGGTCAACTATATCTTATACATACAACTTATATACTGGTATATTGTAGTTATAATTTTTATGTGATTATCCATTTTCTCCTTTTTACAGTCTGACATAAAGAACTGCCAGCAAAAGCTTGTTGCTCAACTTGTGAATATTCTCCGAGAGTCCCTTGGTGCACCAGCCAGACAATTACTAGCCAGGTGCCTGGCAACGTTGTTTTCAGTCGGCGATACATTCCTCTTATTTGACACGGTCAACAAATGCAATGACATTATCAAAGTGAAAGATGACTCGACATCATATTTACCAACAAGATTGTAAGTTTTTATGTAATATTTTTATGAATGTAATTCACTGATTTATGTGTTATGTTCACAGCAGCAATGCAAGCTTAGTTTGCTACTTTTCACACTGCAAAGTGCGATGTATTGCAAATGATACTAAGTTGAATTTTAGCAAAGCATTATGTTAATTTATATCGCGAAATTTTTACTAGCAAAAATAGCAATGTTTTTCATTTATGTAACACAGTGTTTTTTTTTTATTTACTTTTTTTTAACAGCCTAGTTAATGATGATTAAAATATTAAAACAGTAAAATACATTATAAAATAAGTTGAGATGTTGAAAACCGAACCTGAACTTTTTGTTCAGCATATTCTTGTGAGATGACTGAAGCCACTCGTATAATATGAATGACCCAAAAACCGTATTGTATGTAAATATTGTTATGGACCGCTTTCAAATTGAAATTGTGAGTAATATTATACTTCGCTGGTGTCCGCAAATGGAACTCTGGGTGCCTATTTTGCGTGTTCCCTAATATTAACTAATATAATTTACTGTAGGATGCCAATGATGACTAATAATTGCATTTGCGAAGTTCCACCACGCAGACATATGGATCAATTTAGAACCCACTGCTGCATATAGTCAAATTTATGTATCTCTATAAAATGACGACCGCTGGAATGTTGTACTACCTAGACTAAACATAGGGTATTCCCATCAAGTATGAACTAGAAATATAGACGAAATAAGGATCATCCATTCCTGATAACTCATCAGGTAAAATATCACTTTTAAATATCAACTTTCGTTTGTGCTGAAATCACAAAATTAGAAAACTGAAATAGTACAGGGCCAACAACTGACCTGTGAGTACGTCTTCGTATATTCCGTATTTCCGTAATAAAGATAATATCTCTCACAGTGGGGGCTGTTCCATTCGGTGGCGTTGGGAAAATAGCAAAACAAAAACAAACTGAATCACACTTCATCGGTAATTAAATATTAAATATGTAACTTTACAATTTTCGTCCATTATAGCAAAGCTCAAGTTAAACTGGTCGATTTGCAGTGAAACAATTGACATTGTCTGACACTGTCAATAGTTTCGAATTTGGGCTGGCGCATCGGAACGCAGTTTGATTTGGCAGAGTAGTTTTCAAACAATTTAAATGATATTTCGTCTCTATTTCGTCCCAATGGGTATTCCCTATACTTCTTATATCAGGACAACAATATTAGCTCTGGGCCTACTGCCTCGAAGTACCTAGACCTAAATAATTTTTAAAAACTAGAGTAATTTCACAAAAAAAGAATTTAATATCATGGTAGTAAATTTTTAAGTTTCTTTCCTATATCAGTTGTACCCGAGTACTACAACCGCTTGTCTAGCGCCAAGAGTTATAACGACTGGGCCACCGAGGCGAGGTCAGCATTGTACAACGCACTAGAAGATGCAGTTGCTCCTGATTAATTGCTTTTTTGCCATATATATACGGTCCATAGTATTTAGGAGTGTAACTTTGAATAACTCTTCAAACTCGTGATATATGAGTCCATTGTGTAGTTAAAACTGTACAATACTCTGGTGGTACCCTGTCTCACTACATTTTAGTACCAAAAGCTAATGTTTAATATTAAAATAGCCCTCTTTTTGTCTATTGCTCTGTGGAATCTATTTAACTGCTTGTGATTGTTTTTATTATGTGCGTTAATGAATAAACATACATCATTAAATTTTTTTGTTTTGTAATTGTATGTTGATGTTATATAGCATATGTAAATATTGTTTATGAGTACAGTGATTTGTTACAAAATGTGCGTAGGTGCACAGTATAGTATTGTAGAAAAAACACTTATGCCATGCATGTTGCTAGATCTCTTTTTTACTTAAGTGAGAAAATAAAACGTTATAGAAGGAAGTAGAATTAAGTATAAGCAGAATTTTAAAAAAAAGTATGTACGATGATGTTTTATCCTCCTACCTACATTTGTACTCCGAGTAGTATATATAAATCCAAAAATGGGGTTCGTTCGCTAGCGATTAAACTGAAAGAGTAGTTGTTTGTGTGAAAAAAGAAAACTTCGTGTTTTTGTTTAATAATTTTGCTCAATTTGATTCTAATTATATATTAGTAGTTAGTATTTACATGTAATTAGCGTAATATTTGTTAGAATTTGTTTGAGGTAACCTAACCTCAATTACTCATTATGGAGACCGATCGCCCTCGGCCTCCGGACCCCCCGGTTCCTGATCCTCCCGATCCGATACCAACGAGTACTCGCAGACGACGTACATTTGAGGTCTCTGCTCCACCTGCTAAAAGGAATAATTCGAAGGTTGATTTATCTACCCCATACAATGCTGAAGCCGTATATATGGACCCGTCAGTCGTCCATAGGTCCTTATATTGTCCACGTTTCACCCTCGGACCATCTATTAAATTCGGTGAATTTCTGAAAACCCACAAAATATGCGCTGATGGAGTGAAACGAATCGGCAGAAACAGGATTTCTGTCAAATTTACTACGGCCAATGATGCAAATAATTGCCTGTCCTTACCCATTATAGGCATGTGCAAATATTCAGCTGTTATTCCAACATACAACCTGACCCGATTGGGCCTAGTTCGACAAGTCCCCACAGATTTGACCATGACGGAGTTTGCGGAAACACTTGAACTACCAGCAGGCTGCGGTAAGGTTCTGAAAACCAGAAGACTCAATAGAAAAACAGTAGGTAATAGAACAGTCACTTGGGTTCCGACACAGACAGTAGTTGTTACATTCCTTGGCCAATTTCTTCCGTCCAAGGTCTTTTTGTATTACACCTCTCTTCCGGTCGAACTATACCAATACCTCACCATCCAATGCCACTCTTGCTGTAGTACGTGTTGCTGCTCAGTGTAGGTCTAAACCTAGATGCTCCAGATGCTCCAAAGACCATTCTGGCGACTAATGTCAAGTAGTAGAGGATGAAGCTACATGCTTGCATTGCTCCGGACGACATTTTGCTACAAACAAAAACTGCTCAGAACTGGACAGACAAAAATCCATCAAGACTGTTATGGCCCTAAAAATCATTCCATATGTAGAGGCAGCAGCACAGTTTCCAAGAGTTACTAGGTCTTATGCTGAGGTGTGTCAAGGGGCAATTCCTGAGCACTGTGCCAAAGTGCTCTAACATTCAAGTCATATTCATCAAAATCGGACTTATGCTAAGACCGTATATTCCTCTCCTCGCCCTAAAGCTCCCCCGGGGAAGTCGTATGACAAGACTGCCCACAACAATATTATCGCCTATCCAAAATCCTCAGTCCTAAATGGTTGTGCCTTAAATCACAATCAATCATCATCTCCCAATGAGATGTCGGAAATCCTTATTTCTTTCTTGATAAATCTTATTTCCTCAAACTCCATCCCATTACCGTCAAACGTTGCCGAAAAACTGTCACAATTAGTCACCTTATCCTCCTCCCATTATGGACTAGTTGTTCATACTCCAATGGAATACCCAGAGCATACGACAGACGAAGCATGAGCTGGTTCACCTAATTAATAATCACCTCCCATCAGTCATTGCCATCTCTGAGACATGGCTGATTCCTGGTTCTCATTTTAGAATTCCGGGATTCTCATGTCTTCTGCTGCTGGGTATGCAGGCAGTGCTATTTTGATTAAACGCTTCCTCCCCTTTTCCCAAATTCATCTCCCTACACATTCCCCTGATATCAACATGGTTGGTGTCAGAGCCTTTGATCTTTTATTTCCATTTATATTCCCTACCCCAAATCCACATTAATCCCAGACATCCTTTTCCTTCTATCATCAGTTCCTTCCCAATGGTGCATATGGGAGACTTTAATGCCCACCTCTCCATATGGGGATAATGCTTGGCAAGGGAAATGAGTAATAGACTTTGTGCCTTGTCCTTGTTGGAAGTATTCAATGATTATGATCATCCTCCATCCATCATGTGAGCATCCCTGATGGTTCCCCTACCAGAGTCTATCGCTCCCAAAATCCAAAAGGTGCTGTTGATCTCCCTTTGTTCCCCATCTCTTTCTTCTTTTATTTCTTGGAAAGTTCTTTCTTCCACATATGGTAGCGATCATTTTCCTATTCTCTTGTCTATACCTAGTAGAGCTATTCCTTTCAGTAACCCATCCCCGTTATTAAAATACAAAATATTTGAAGCCAATTGGCCTTCTTACTCTTCCACTCTAGAGACATCTCTAAAGACGTCAGCAATTTTCCCAATAGATTCTGACCCTCTTTCCTCTTACCACGTTTTTGTACATTACATTACTGCCTCTGTTGATCGTTATATACCTCTAAAAAGCCTGTTAGGGGTTTCAAAATCTAAACTTCATGGTGTAATTCTGAGTGCACAGCAGTGCAGTTAAACACAACACTTAATAGCATATAAGTTACTATATATTTATAGTTATTGTTTTGCACTGTTAAATTTAGTGTCAAATGTAGTAAATTACTTTAAAAATTTAAAAATATACTATCGATACGAGACCGTGAAGCAAATTTTGCAGTTTTAATTTTTAATTGGAACTACTAATTATAATGACACGAATGCACATGTCTGTGCACTAACATCTACGTTCTTTACGTAAGTCTGAGTACATTTTTCGTCGCAACACATGCATCGGACGCGTTAGCGTTAAAATCGTAATTACAGCAACAGAATTCGGGAGTTTTCTTTTTCCGTCATAAATGCAGAACAATTCGTTTTCATAACCACGACATAGGGTAAAACGTTTCGAAGCGCATTACAAGGGCTTTTGCAAGTGTATGTTCGAAATTTCACCTTCGAAAGAATTAACTAACAAAAATTCTGTAGTTGTCACTTGACGTTTGTCTTGCTAGAGTATGCGTTTACGTGTAAATTTGTTATATTTATAATATAAGATTTGGTACGAAATTACTTTCATTTTTAAGTCACTCCATGCTTTTGAAGTATTACAAAAATCATGAAATAATTTTAAACCTACAAAAAACCACTTAAGGTTTAATTC